GAGTGTCTAAAAATGGCATTTCTGTATTAGCTGGCCTTGATCCTAGTGGTTTTAAAGGTAAATCGCTGTGACTGTGCCTTCTCGTTCACACCGCTCTTTATGAGTGAAGCGAGAAAGTGTTTCAAAGTTTTGTTCAGGACCAGGACGTGTTTCTGAGCCATCGCACAGTAACGCCGTTCTGCTAAAGGCCCGGGCAGCGTCCGTCTGACCCAGTTCTCCCCTCGGGGTTTCCCGTCTAGTGGCAGAACGGGGCCATAAAGCAGCATGGCTTTCACACGTCGTTTTTTCTTTCTTTCTCTCTCTCCTTCCTTCCTTCCTTTCTTTCTTTCTTTCTTTCTTTCTTAATTTTACTATGGGGCATGTGGAGACAGAGATAGAGAGACAGTAAGTAGGAAAGTCGTCCCTCAGGATGGAAGGCCATGCTGCAACCCTTCACCCTGTACGTCTCTTCCCTTTCAGGGTTTTGGGCATGCGCACATGCCCAGCGTGTTTTTGAAGCTCCTGGGACTGGGGCTGGGACTGCACCGTTAGCCACGTGGGGTGCACCTGTCCGTACCACTGTGCCACAGGCCGGCCCTGTACATACTTGAATCAGTTACTCAGGCTTTTTCTTTTTTTAAGTTAAAAGCATATCTTATTAAGTTTTTGTAATTTTATTGCTGTCATGGGCTTTAAAGAAGCTAAAAAAGGCGGTTACATGTAGCGCCAAAGCAAACCGGACGTGTGGGCTTCACTCAGTGTAGGGCGTGTTACCTCGCCTCTGCTGGGAGTTAGACGGGTCCCTGTCCTGGGGCCCTAGACCCTAAGCCAGCCCTGCCGTTTCATCACTGCAGTCTGCAGTCTGGCTTGTGTGACTCTCAGGGACTTTGACTCTGCTCTCCCTTTACTCCGAGTCGGGTTTCGGAAGCGCATTGGCGAGGTCCATGCTGTCCGGAGCTGCCTGTCTCCAGGGCTCCTGGCCCCTTCCTCCCCATCTTGCCTCGTGCGTGAGTAGGGCCCCAGCCTCCCGGCTGCACTTAACTCCAGGTGGCCAGACTCCAGGTTGCCTGTGGTGGTGGAGTTGTCCACAGCAGGACCCCACGGGGCCCTCGCCTGGGAGGTGAGTGGCCTCTCCCAGACTGTGCTGGGAGCCCCACCTGTCTGTCCCACATTTACGAATGGGCATGCAGCCCAGGAGGGCTGGACGCAGGCATAGTTCAGGAGCTCGGGTGCGGGATGTGGCGGGCCGCTGAGCAGTAGCTCCAGGGCTCCTGTGCTGCCCAGCAGACACGGAGCTCTGGAGCTCCGAGCCCCGGTGCTCGGTGTGGCCAGGTTTCTTATGACCGTGGGAGGGGACTGTGTGAGTGGCTCTTTCGGAAGCTGCGGCAGCCTTCAGGGAGGCTGTATTCCTATTCGAGAGGCTCTTTAAAACCATGGATTCGTCCACAGATAAGTGCATGTGTCCACGCACACACTGGTAAGGGTTTTCAACTAGTGAAGCTGGGATAACTGGAAGTCTGTTTCATTGTTGAGAGACAGAGTAGGTTAATGATTTGAATAAAAAAGGGGGACTTTTTTTTTTAAGCATAGGAAGAATTCTTCCTTTCAAGCTAGGAAGAATTTTTTTTAATAATTGTTTATTATTTAATTTTATTTATTCATTCATTTGTTTTAATTTGACCAGAGAGAGAGAGAGAAAGTGAGTAAGCAAGCCACCAGGTCCAGGACTTGAACCATGGTCAGCCACGTGGGAGTGTCTAGCGCCTTAACCACCACACCGCCTGCTGGTCCCCAGGGGGAGGAATATTAAATAGGAGATTTCTCTTATGACTTAAAACTTCAACAGTGTTATCTGTGATAGTTCATTTCACTGTAAACCATTTCATTCCACCAAACGTCCTATTATCTGGGGAAAAAAATATATATACATATATATATATATATACACACACACTTTCAACAGATTTGTTTAGTGAGTTCTGTTAACTTTGGTTTTACCATTTAGCTGAGTGAGATGTTGTTTCTGATGTTGATAATCTCCTGATTTTGTCATCGCATTAAATACAGTGTGAAAAGCCAGCTTTCCCCTTTTTTACTTATTTACCTTTTTAAGAGATTTTTGCTGTAGGGCGTATGTGCTTGCCAAGAGAGAGAAAATGAGAGCAGTCGCCCCCGAGGGGACGCCACAGTGCTATCCTTGCTCCATTCTCCCAGCACTTGGGGCGTGCACGCACTCACGTCTGGGGTGAGTTTGCAGCCGCCAGGTCCAGGACTCAGACCACAGTTAACTGCGTGGGAGTCCCGCCCGCAACGTTGCCGTTTTGCCATCTGCTGGTCACCAGCCTTCCCGTTTCTAGTCAGTTTTCAGGTGTTCTAAACTAGTTATGTTGAGATACCTTTTGCTTCAAATAAAAAAAAAAGTGCATTTCTTGACTCACTGTTCCCTGTTGGAGAACTTCTAGATCAGCCTACCTTTATGTTGACTTAGGGCGGTGATGGAGCTTACTTCGTGTGTGTTCAGGGAAGGGATGTGTGTTTCTGTATCTTCCGCAGTTCTTCAAGTAAATCAGGCATCATCCTCCACTCCACATACCCACACCCCAGCCGTCCTGAGCGGAGGGCGGGAGCATGTTCCCAGGCCTCAGCCCTGCTGGCTCTGCCTGGCCGGCTCTCTGTACTCAGCCTCGATCGTCTACCCTTGACATCTCAGCATTGGCCATGAGCTGACCCTGGGGGCTGCTGGGTGCGCAGGGTGGGTGCTGAGGGTGCTGGGATGGGAAACTGGCTCAGGGCCGTCTCCACCTGCAGTCACACAGCCAGAGGTTAGGGCTCTGCTGTGTATTGCAGGAGTTCCAGGAGTGGGGCTCTATGCAGACACAGGGCTCTTAGAGAACGCAAGTGTTCTAGAATTATGTGGCTCTAGAATTCTGTGATCTAGTTTTCTAGGGAAACAAACCAAGCTTTTTAAATATGTATCTGTTGGAGTCGTAGCAGTCTTCTCTAGGTGTCAGACCGTGATGGGTGAGAAACTGCCCTTGGCAGGACCCAGCCAGGCAGAGGGGCTGAGCTGGCATTGCTCCGGAACACCCAGCCGGGCGGCGGGGCCGAGCTGGCATTGCTCCGGAACACCCGGCCGGGCGGCGGGGCCGAGAGGGCAGAGCTCCGGGAAACCCGGGCCG